TGTAAATTTTGGGGGAGGGGGGGGGGGGGGGGGGAAACCCTTCTAATATTCATTCCCAGAATTCTGAATGCTGCTGTTAACCTAGGATTTGTTGGTGTCTTGGATTCAGGGTCTCTATGCGCCTGAAAGGTAAAAATTACAACCTGATTTCCACTAACTTCTAGGTGAATGCTAGTATTTTCTCAAATTACAAATGAAGGCAATAAAAAAGCACAGTGGTATTAGCAGCCCCCATGACGTGCCCTCAACAGTAGTCATGGAGACCTTCACGACCTTTCCCAGTGTTTATCAGTATTACAAAACGAAATTTTCATTCATTATCGCTTTGAAGTTACAATGGTTTTAGACTATGTTGCTCCGTGTAACAAAGAAGCACACGTACTGTCGATCACAAATTTGCTTTTCAAAACTTGGTAACTGCCATTCATTCTGCTTTTCTTGGTTAATCCCATGTATTTCATGCATTTGAAACAGTATTCTGACAAGGGGTCCATAGGCTACACCAGACTCAGAAGGAGCCCAGGGGTAAAAACGACTAAGAATTTGCATGAAATTCAAGGACTTTCAGGGAGCCCGACAATAGAGACTTCAAATAACCACATGCAAACTCTGGGCAGTACCATGTCCTCTATTTCCTTGCTTTGAACTTACCCAAATAATAGGTTAGTTCAACTGACTTGAGCAACAGGCTGTGTTAACTTGGGTAAGAGGCTGTGGCACATTTGTCCTGATTGTTTAGATTTCAAATCCACATAGTAGAGTTGGAATCAGTCTGGCTCTGATCTGAGAGCTCTGCCATGTATTGACACCTTTAATCCTCATCATGACTTTAAAAGGCAGGTGCCAGCAGGGAAACCAAGACGAAAAGGTGTTGACCATGTATCATACAACCACAAAATGAACAGATTAGGGGACCAGATGAGAACTCAGCAAGACTGGGCCCAGAGACTGCTCCAGCTCCTCTTTCTTGCCTTTGTCACTATTCAGAGGCTGGGATAATGAACCATTTTCTATTCTTTCTAGTATTGAGCCAGGATGGAGAGAAGTTGTTCTTTTTTTCTACTTTCCTGATGAAATATGGGAAGAGCCTTTTCAGAACTACATGATTAGGCCAAGATGTAAAGCCAGCAATACTTTTAACAAACCAAGTCTAACACAGCCTACCAAGAGGGGCCATGGTGATAGAGGAGGAAGTATTATATTATCATAAGAAACACACAAATATACTTCCAGGAATAAACCTGGACTGGAATGGGCCTGGGAAAACAGACATATACTATATACCCAAGAGGGTAGGTATGTATGGCCTTTCATACCAATAGCATCCTGCTCTAGAATAATGGGTTCTCCCTCAGATCAAAATACACTGCACCTTGGTTTCTCCCACTATAAAAAGGCCCAAGTTTGTTCTGAGGTTACAGTGAAAGCTGTCCAGCACTTTGAAAAGTTCACTATGTTCTTCAAAACAGTCATTACTTATGAATTGACTCAATAGCCATCTATTGACTACAAGACCCAGCATTGCATACAGCCAACTCTGAGCATGATCTTAGAATGTAGTCATTTTCATAGTATGTCAATCTCCAAAAATTTCTCCTGCTGTGACCTTCAGGTCTCCATTTGTTACACTTGAGCAAAATCAAATTCATTGCTATTCTCAGATTATAATGAAAATTAAAGCTATTTCTGTTTCCTTCATATGCCCCCTAATTACACAATTAGAACTAGGAATTCTATTATCAAATGTTAGCAGTAGTAATGTTCAGCATTCCATGCAAATTTTGCTGAAGTACACTTAATTTGACTGCTAAAACGCATGACATTACAAAGTAGAAGTCGCATTATGAAAATCATAGAAAACGATTTTTATCAAAACTTGAAACCAAAAAGCCCTTCACAGAACTGTCAGGTAGAGAATGGTACTCACGTTTCCCTTAACCACATAATTGGAATCATTCTTGATGTCTCTGGCTAGACCGAAATCACAAATCTTTGTGATCCGACCATGAGTAAGGAGGATGTTTCTGGCTGCCAAGTCTCTGTGAATACACTATTAGGTTGAGGGAGAAAAGAAAGCCATTGAAAATCATTTTAACTTTCAAAGAGGAAACTATTTTTAACACTACAATGCTGTTTATATATTAAAAAAAAATCTCAAACTTTCAAAGTATTCAGTGCACCAAAAACAAAAATTATGTCTCAAATGATGTTCACATTTTGTGTTTCTCATGATCTGGGCCCTAATTACTATAATCGCTTTCAAAACCAATTCTAATAAATGCTTCCCCCCCCAACTGCTTTCATTCATAGGAAAATGTATTATAAATAGTCGAACTGCATTTTGTTAAAATGAAAATTCACTTTGTATGCATCTCCTTGAATGTCCTTTTCAAAGAGTTGCTAAAATGTCTTCACAGCTCGACTTGACATCTCCCAAGGACACAAGGAAGAGGGGCTTTACTTTGGCCACCCTATATCCTCTTTCGGTTTGGTAACTGCTTGGGAATGCCACCAGTGATGTTAAGAGTACTTGCTGCGACTCCCTCTCTTCAGCTATGCCTCTTTCCTAGGGCATTCTTTCCCTTCCAAGAATCCATGTTCTGGCCTCCTCTTCCCATCGCCACCTTTTTCCTAACTGCTCATTGTTCTCTGACTGCTCGTTTCCTGATACTTCTTATGCTGTACATAGAACATGTGGGCCTTCTCTTGATGGAGCCAAGCAAGGTGCATAACCAAGATGGCACCAATGCGGCCTACCCCTGCTTTTGCTGATGATATCATTATCCTTCTGTCTTCTAGGATCATATCTTTAAGATACATCTTAAAGCCAAAAGTTTTAAATGAATTCACTGCATATAAAAGAATATTCATGGAAAGCTCATTTAGACAGGTTTGCACTTTAAAGCTTATAAATTAGAACAGGAATTCCAAAGAGACAGCAGTTGGAACATGAAGAAACAAAATTTCCCCTGCTTTTGGTTACTGCACTTCAAAATGACACTCTGCATTCTAACTAGGGCTCTGAAATGTTCAGCTCTCAAAAAAGTTTTTAAAAAAAAGGACTCTGTGCCTCCTGTGAGAATCCTCGCCACTCACGTTCTTGGAGGCGAGAAAAGCCATGCCCTTGGCCACCTGGTAGGAAAAGCTCAGCAAGTCTTCCAGGTCCAAAGCCAGCTCGTCATCCTCCATGATGGCGGGAGTCACATCTCTTTCTATGTACGAGCCTGTTAGAAAGACAGGGTTCCTTTGCAATGAAAACCTTAAAGGTTAGGAGAAGACAGGGGCAGTGACAGTACCAACAAAGAATGAACTGTTGTGGACTTGCGGGCCAATCACCCTCAGGGTTGAGGGAAAGTGGGTGTTGAATCACAAAGCCAACATTCAACAATCTTTGGCTGGGTTTCAAAATCCTTAAGGACAGGGGGATGGATGGTGGCTCTACTTCCAAAATCCCATGTATATAGTAGCAAAATGCGTATGTACAAAAACACATGCTTTCTCCTGAAGCATCCACTTGTGAACCCTATCTGCCACTGATCACTGGCTTTGCACAACAGGTCCCCTCCTGGAAACAATCTATTTAGTCCATGATTAATGGGAAATAAGAGAGCCAAAAATCCTTAGCCCACCTTACTTCAAACTCTAAATTAGCCCTCTAAGGCTAGAACATGGTTTGATTACAGTCTGTGTGGGACCCACCTATTCTCGCAGATCTCCGTTTTTCTGTCTTAGTTGGTACAACGTAAGACACTCCAGGCTTCATGTCCATGTACTCGTTGGTACTGTCACTGCTGGGAAAGATGAAACACCCAGGTTATAGCTGAACAGATTGGAAATGGGGTGGGCAGACTTGCCCATTCAGGCTCCTGCTCTTGTCTACTTTCTCACACCATGAACTGATTTTATGTGAAGAAAGTAACGCAATATTTGAATAAAGAGCTTAAAAACTGGGTTTTATAAAGCCTGAGTTTTTACTATTCATTATTAGGGTCGAATTCCCAGGAATTAAATATTATTTTTGTGGGGACTCAGGTTAGAAATGTCCCTTCTCTGGATACAGGGGATTTAGGAAGAAAAGCCCAAACTGTCACCTCAGGTTACTTCAGACTCTAAATTAGCCCCCCAAAAGACAAGGAGAAAGACAAAGAACAAGTTTCCAAGATGTGCTGGGGCGAGATCGTTAACATATAGTGACTGATGGAAGAAGGTTTAAAAAAACCAAGTTTGGTTCAGATAAACACCAATAATTTGGATGATTTTCTGAACCATCTGGACCTCTTGAATCTGCAACATTTGGCTGGAGACTCTTCAAGATTTCTAGTACTTCCTGCTTCTGATTAGCATAGAAACACCATGACAACAACCTCCTTCAGAGCGAGCTGGTGGCTCCAAACCCATATGGGATCCCAAAGCACAAAGAACATCACAGGACTGAGCAATTCAGGCCATCATTTCAGAGAGTTAAAAAATACATGTAGGGTTGAGCGTCCAGACTGGAGGCAAAGGGGCTCTGGCCTTCATATAAAGAGTAGATGCTCAAGAAAAACTAAGACAAGGTAGTTTTCACAGTATTTCACGACCATGTTCAAATACTCAAGTTTACAGGACTAAAATAAAAATATAAAGCTCCACCTGGGGCTTTAAACCTTTGGTGATGGGAAAAAAGACTTCAGGAGATAATTATCCATCAACAGTAATTACTGAGGTCTCCTTGATGGGACAAACTATAGTTTTTATTTCATTTTATAATATTTGATGCTGGAGTTCGAATCCAGGGCCTTGCATGTGTTCTACCTCTGAGCTACACCCTCAATCCATAACAGTAAATTTGAAAAGGAGAGGGGAGATCTACCACATAATTGGAAAGGGCAAAAAAGAAAAGGTGTGCACAATCAGAAGTCTTCCATGGTAGAGGGAGAAGAGCTCCACTCTGGTTACAAGCCAAGCCTCTTTTCCTTCTTACACACTATTCAGAACAGATACCACATGGGGTAGGATGAAGGCCAGAATTCAAATGATGTTCTATAGTAGTGATGCCTTTGGAGCATGATGAAAAGACACAGAATGGCAAAGATCTAGAAATAATTCGGAGGCTGATGACAAGAAGCCTACACACATAAGTATGCCCAGTTTATAGGACTTTCCTATGACCACTCGACAGCATTTACCATCTTCCCTATAACTAGTTCCATTATAGATAAAGATGCCTACAGAACACAGTGCAGCAACATAAGTGGAAACATACACAGAACGAAAGCATGATAGAAAGAAACAGGTAAAAACTCATTCAGTAGCATACAACTACAGCTTAGGTTAAAAAAACAACAACAGCAAATACCTCAATTTGAATCTTCAAGAATACTATTTGAACTTCCTAAACAGGTAATCACATTTAAATAATTTAATAATTCTGATTTCACATCTCAGAGTACCTCAGTTCATTTTAAAAGAATCAACCTTGATTGCAAACCCTTATGACCCCATGAACTGCCTGTCAGCAGCTGACTATGCAAATCAGCCTTACCAGGAAGACTCCTTTGAATGCAGAAGGTTCTTGTAAAGTGCTGCTTCTGCCTGATCTTCCTGCTTTGAGAAAATAAATGAATCACGTTTTCTTCTCAAAAAATTCAAAAGATCACCATAGCAACAATATTCTGTAATGACCAGGGTGGGCCCTATGAAGATATAAGAAAATGTTAGGAAGAGGCGAGATACACTATAGATAATCCTGCCTCCTGTCAAAATCCCCAAGGGTGATCATGGCTATTAACATTCAGTTTCAGTGGCTAAGCCTTCTTAGGCCCAAGGTAATTCTATCTATTAGCATCTCTTATCAAAAACAGCAGCATTATGTTGAGTGAAATAAAACAAGCAAGCCTGTTTCTACTTGAATACCTAAGTGAGGCGAGTGAGCATCAGGGGCCAGGCAGGACTGCTGGCTCTGCTGCCACAAGCGACTGCTTTCAAAGGTTCCCCTCTGATCAAGCTTCCTAAGGGGATCCTTTGATTCACTTCTGTTTACGGCAGGGTTCCACATCCTTGCTGTAATGCTATTATGGAAATGGAGGGCCAAGCTGCAGTCTGGCAGGAAAATAACCACATGGAACAGCCAGCTAAGCCCAGCCTGGAAAGTGGGTGAACACCTGAAACGACCCCTGTTCTGAGCACCACTAGTCAAAGAGAGTCAGCACTATGAATGCTTAAAAGTGCAGTTCTCAAGTTAACAGGCAACTAATTACCGTGGGTTGAAACAGCCTCATGAACAATTCATAGTGTGGTGAAGTACAGGTTATGGGGGCCACTTTACGACACTATCTAAAGCTGTCAACTGTTCTGTGGGTCTCTAGACCTGTAGGGAACAGCTCACCTCACACACCTTTGTTCCTTTAGAACAAAATGTCTTCTGCAAACATCAAGACAGTCTTGATGGGCGCCTCAACTAAGGCTTCAGAATTGGAAGTTTGCTTTTGACAGAAGTGAAATGCTTGCTTCATTTGGTGTGTGTTTGGGAAGTGGGGGGCTCAGGGGCCTCCTTTAAGCTATAGAAGGCAAATGAACATTAACTCCTAAGTGACTAATTATGACCCAGTAAGACATAAAACTTGCAAGATAAGAAAAGCTTTCTGGGTGAGATGAGACACACTTAGAGTCAATGCTGATGTAGCACACTGAGAGGCTCTTGCATGCATGTGGACTCTTACCCCACAGGATGATACAACAGAAAATTACATTAAAGATGATTGTTTTTCACCAACTTGGGTATTTATTTAGCCTTTCAATGAGTAAATTAGTGAATGTCTGCTTTAAACTGACACATTTGTACCCATTTAAGTGGTACAGTATCATTTGACACATTCATACAAAAGTGCAGTGATCCAATGAGGGTACAAGCAGCCCTACACAAAGAGAAATTCTCTGTGTTCCCACTCATTTGGGCAAGTTCAAAATGCTGATCTGGTAGAATAAAAGTCCTCAAGGCTAGGAAGAGGGAGGGGAGAGTGTGAGGCACAGTAATGGGCACCAAAACACAGTTGTGGAGAGTAGTTCTGATGTACTAATGCGCTACAGCACCACGGACAACTAGAGCCCGCATCTCCAAATACCTAGAGAAGGGGAGTCTGAAGATTCCCAGCACAGAAATGATAAAAATCTACATTCTTAGGAATAGTAAGGACAACAAAATCTAGCAAAACAAAACAAAATTCTGGGCAAAAATCTCACAGTTTGTAATTAAGCAGTGGCCCTCTTTCAGTCACCTGGCAGACAGGCAACGCAGTCTTACCTCCAACGGTGCATGCTCCGAGAAGATTCACAATATTCATATGATTGCCTAGGTAGCTCAGGACCTTCAGCTCAGACATGAGGGCCTCCCTCTCTGTTAAATGAGCACTTGCTAAAATTGGAAACAGTGTATGTTAGTTAAACAAAAACCCCAAAAACTAAAAAATTGAGCACCCTAGGGGTGGGTGCATGCAGTACCCTTCAAGAACTTACGTTTGAGCATCTTTACAGCAACCGTCATGGCAGCATCTGACTTAATTAAGCCATAAGCAGTGGCCTCAACAACCTTGCCAAAGGCACCGGCACCCAAAGTCTTCCCTTTAGAAAGGAAGGCAAGAGGCAAAGTCAGTGGGGAAACCAATGGACCATCTTGTGATGTTCCCGAATCAAAAAGGAAATTAAAGACACAGGTGTCTAGAGACATTTCCCTTTAATGTTTGCTTTGCTAAATCTGCCAACTTCTGCGCAATTTCACAGAAAACACTTCCGGTTTCAGGTGAAATAGAACAAAGGAAGCCATCGGAGGTTCCTTAAAATCATTGTTATGTGTACACAAAATGGTTGCATGGAAAGCCCCTGCTTCATACTGACCAAAACTCAGCCTGTTTCTGGGAAACTCCCATTTGTGATCATAAGGAAGTTGTGTTGGGTCTATGTAAACATAATTGTTTCCATTTATCTCCTCGACAACCTTCCATTGTACTTCATACATGGGTTTCTAGAGGAGAAAGGGAAAGACATATCACCTTTTAACAACCAATGCTTGCTCATTACAGCACGGGGGGGGGGGGGGGGGAAA